TTGGAGAAGACTCCATGATACCCATATATCTTTAAGCCAGTTTCCTTCAAATTATACCCGAGATGAGACCCCTGGGTGAGCAGAACAGTCTAGGATCTAGAACCAGGCAAATACTCAGCTTCCAAGTGCCATATGGCCAGGAGGAGGTCTGTGCCAAGAACATCTCAGAGTGTGGCATTAGCTGGGTTCTCAATGTTCCACGGTGGGGCACAAATGTTCATAGCCCAAAAGCATGACAAGTTGCCAGAAAGGCAGGTCCACCCTCCATTCCAAACCCACATCTGCCTCAGGTTCTGAAGGACAGCCTGGAGCGGGTACCATTTGACCACAGGTACTCAATAACAAAAGAAAGGTGTGATTGTGGCTGGAGAGAGGGCTCAGCAGTTAAGAGCATTTACTTTCAGAGTACCAGTTCAGTTTCTACTACCCCTATGATGACTCATTTCCACCTGCTAACGCCAGCTCCAGGGACTCCAGCACCCCCTTCTGCCTTCCAGGGGCCCCCAGACAAGGTGCACTTACATACACGTGGGCAAACACTCATACACATAAATCGAAAGGAGAAATAGCTTCCAGCCCTCAAGGAGTAATTCATGGGACGTTAGCCCCTTTGAGATAAAGCATTGCAAGTTGAGAAGCATCAGAAATCAAAGTGTTAGGAAACTATGACCATTTTAAAGAAAAACGGTTATCTGGCTACTGGTAAGTCTAGGGACGCACACGGTCTATGGAAGATGTCTGTCCACCACCCTGGGCCACTTCGTACCTGTGGTGAGCACCTGCTCTAGGTGCAACACTGCGTGGATCAGGGCCTCTGTGCCCACTGCCTGGCCCGCAGCCCGCTGCAAGGCAGCCAGGGCGGCCCCTGCCAGGATGCTGCTGGTGCCTGCAGAACACAGAGGAAGGCACCAGTCACGAGCCACTCTGCCCAGTCCCACCCCACTCTTCCTGCTTCACAGGGGCCAGGGACCAGGACCACAAGAAAGACTGAAGAGCTGAGAAAAAAGGTGACAGCAGGGCACCAGGGCTTACTCACCGAGACCGGAGCCATGCGGCAGCTCCGACCAGGTATGCAGCTCAAAGCCACCACTGAAGGAGCGCAACAACTGCTCACGCAGAGGGACCTTTGAGTGGACGTGCACAATCCCCGCACAGATAAAGGCTGCCTTCAGCAAGGCCCCTGAGGGATGAGCACAAAGGAAGGAATTACACTCCTGGGCCACCACTTAGCCCACCACCGTGCAATTTCCCAGCCCAAGATGGAGCTTCTCTGGTAGGACAGTGCAGGCCCATCCTCAAACCATAAGAAAAGGCATCTAGGCTCTCTACCACAGGCAAATATGTAACTTCTTTGTCTTGTGCCAGTCTGTACCTAAGAAGGGAGACAGGGCTCCTCAAACATACTGGCTATCCCTAAGGTGCTCAATGGTTTGCAGTCCTCTGTGGACAGATCTCCAAGTTCTGGCCCCATCTCAGCTGGCTGTGGCTGCCATCCCTCCTTGACGATGCCCTACTTGTCCTGACCTGGGGCGTGAGGCTGGCAGTAATCTTGCAGGTCATCCAGGCTCTGGCACACTATCTTCAGGGTCATCTCATCCTGTCGAGGCCCCACTGCCAGCCACAGCTCAGGCTCCAGGATGCGGCGCGCCTTGGCCCCGATGGGCCGGTGGCCATCCACCCGCACAGCCAGGCCCAACACTGCTCCCCCAAGCTCATAGGCAATGGGTGGCGTGTCACTCCAGCCCCCTATAGCAGTTGAACAGAGTGTCACAGAGCCTGCTGGCCTGGCTCTGAGGAGGTTCCCAATACCTCACCCAACAAACTCACCAGAGAAATCTACACGGGCTGGACACTCGGTCAGCACCCACTGCCCGGGTGCTGGGAGCGCCACTGGCTGGGTGCAGACAAAGTGCCGAGCAGTCATCACAGCCTGGCGGATCAGGATCTGCTCAGCCCCCTCATAATGGCGGGCAGCTCGTACCAGCAAGGCGGGCCTGACAGGAAGGTAGACAGATGGTCACATGGAGCCCCACGCCAGGGCTAGATTGCTTGTCATGGTCAATCTGAATGCCCTCTCTGAACTTCCACTATCAGGAGATCCTTCCCTAGATGGCTTCTCAGTGGGTTCTAATTTGATTAACACCCACCTGGTCAGCCACTTTTCTCTTTCCTGGGCGAGTGCCTCTACACCCTTCATCAGGTCTCCGCACTCCAAGTATGAGAAAGGCTGAATCCACTCAGGGTTGGCAGCTGGCCCACTGCGCAAGCCTCCTCGGCCCTCTGCCATGCAGCCCAGTACATCTGCCACACAAGCCAGAGCTCGGGCTGCCACCCCAGGGTCTTCTGCCCCAGCTGCAACTGGAGAGAGAGAAAGAGAGAGAGAGATAGAGAAAGAAAGAGAAAGAAAGGAAGGAAGGAAGGAAGGAAGGAAGGAAGGAAGGAAGGAAGGAAGGAAGGAAAAAGAAAAGAAAGCGTTCAGGATTGGGTCAGTGAGATAGTGAGATGGCCTGGGATAAGTCTACTGGCTGCCAAACCTGACATCCCGAATCCAATCCCTGGCAGCCACATGGTGAAAGGAGAAAGCAGGCTGTCCTCTAATCCTACATGCACATACGTCTACACGTGCGCATGCACATGCACAAATAGTGGGGGGGGGGGGCGTACAAGACAGGGTTTCTCTCTGTAGCCCTGGCTATCCTAGAACTTGCTCTGTAGACTAGGCAGGCTGGCCTCAAACTCAGAGAGATCTGTCTGCCTCTGCCTCTGCCTCTGCCTCCAGAGTGCTGGGATTAAAGGCACACACCATCACGGCCCTGCTTAAACTCTTAAAAAAAAAAAAAAAAAGAGTTCAGAAAGAATGCAGAGGTCAAACCACCTGGGTTCAAAAGTCTCAACTTGTTGTATGGCTATGGGTGAGTGACTTAAATTAAGGCATGGTTCCAATCTTCTCAGGGCCACTAATGAGTCACTTTCTATGAGGCTAAGGCTCTGAGCCACCAGGCCATATGGCCCATCTACGGTGTGGGAGTGCTGCCTGTATGCCAGGTCCCTGCTGGAGCTTTGCACCCCCATCCCGGCACTCAGTACAGAACACACAGCCCTGTAGATTCTGTAAGGACCCAGAGGCTTAGCAACCGGGCTTCCACCTCCCACTGAAAGCCCTGCTAACAAGGATGAAGTTTCCTAGAAAAGAAAACTCCAGTGTCTCTTCCATTTTAGAATCACGTGGCTCCCTAGTCCTTTCAACTAATGGCCCAGATAGCAGGCAGGGCAAGAGACCATAGTCTAGCTCCTTAGTATTGACACCCAGCACACTCACCCTTGTCCAGCGTGGCTAGCAGGGGCCCAGAGCAACCCTCACCGACAGCAGCCCGGATCAGTGGACGCAAGCAGAGGTCCTGCCGGGCCTCTAGCACATGCCGTGCCTTCTGCAAGGCCTGGCAGAAGAACAGATCTCGACGGGAGGCCAGCGTGGCAGCCTGGTCCAGGCAAGGCTGCAGCTGCTCCCAGGACAGGCGCCAAGAGGCTCGCCAGGCCCTCAGGGCCTCACCTCTGTCCCCCTGGGGATGCAGCATCCACAGCACGTCCTTGGGACCCAGGGCCCTCTCGGGGTGGAGCACAGGGAAAAGGCGGGCATTGAGAAGGCATCGATCTGAGGGGGCCGTGTCTGGGTCCCACAGGTCCCAGTCTCTGGGGTGCAGAGAAATGCATTATTAGGAAGAAAGCTAAGGCTCCTGCCTCCTTCCCAAGCCCTGGCCCGTATGTCAACTCATGGGGATGGGACCTTCTCCCTGATGGGCCTTGTCAACTTGCCTAAGATGCTGAAGAGAAAAAATCCCAACGTCTAGACTGACACCACTGCCAGGGATTTAGAGCTGCATGGGGGAGAGCACTGAAGAGAATCCAGCTATTCGAAATTATACCAGCCCTGTCAGGGCGGTACGAGGACTGGACAGGGCTGCTCAGGGACGAGCTTCAAAGAAGGACCCACACTGGCTGCCTCGGCCAGCCGAGGCCTGCCGAAGCAGCTGGCTTACTTACCGAATGCCTGTCTTCTTGAAGAACTCATTCCAGGACATGTTGAGATACATGCCTGGCCCCTGTCTCTGGGGGAAGAGGAAGAAGCAGTCAGGAATGCAGGGGTCTTTGAAAAGGGACTAGGGGACACCAGGCCAGAGGCTGGGGAACAGATGCTCCAAAGGGGACTGGAAAAGAGAGAGACACACACAGGAACACTTTAACACTTCCGCCTACATGCCTAGGATTTAGAGCAGAATCCTGAGTGCTGCTCCTGATGGGGGCCATTACTGAGACCCAAGGCAAGCTACCCCCTCTAAACCTTAGTCACCAGCCTTTAACATGGGATAAAGTTCTCTTAGGTCTATTGAGACATCTGGCCATACCCCCTCCCCAGTCTACCCCTCAGAGACCCCTGTGATAGAACAGAGCCAGACCCCTGAGAGATCCCCGAAGTCTGAAGATGGAGACAAAGCGGATGCCTACTTCCCAGCTGTCCAGACGTCCAGCAAGAGTAAATGCTCGGCTTGGGGAGCCATGCAGCCGCACATGGTGTCCCTGCAGGATGACGTCATAGAGCTCCAGGCCATGAAGCGACTCCGAGTGGGCTGTGTCCAGGCCACTCACAAAGCAGCCAGCGCCGATGTGAATGGGCCCCTGAGGAGAACGGGGCAGGCCTCTTGAGGTGGGGAGCAGGTGCACGGGACATCCAAACAAATGCCGAGCAATGGCACCCCCAACTGCTTCCCCCTGCCGTCAGGGCTCACCCTCAGGTGGCAGTGCTGCAGGACACTCCGAGGCCCCAGCTGTACAGGACCTTCCAGCAGGCAGCTGACCACGGAGCAAGTGGCCTCCAACAGCTGTGGCTCCTGTAAGCCAGGGAAGAAGATCAGGAAAGCTGAAGGCCAGAGGCTACCCTAATTCTCACATGGAAACCAATATCAGGGTGGAAAGTATAGAGACCCACCCCACTCTAGTAACTTCAACCAGCCAGACCTGCTCAACCCCTCCAGACCTGTCCTGGCCCAAGCCAAAGAATTTTCCCATCCAGCCCTCCTGCCCTAAGAGCCTCCTCTAATGCCATCTGTCCAGCCCCGCCCCCATCACAGCACTGACCCAGACCCACGTGTGTCTGTCTCCTCAGGGACCCTGCAGAAACTCTTCCCTCGCTTCCATTTAGCCACTCCCTGGCTTAGCTTTTCTAGCCCCTAGGATAGCTGAGTGTGGTGGCCAAGCTTTTGATCCCAGAGGCAGAGGCAGGAGGATCTCTGTGAGCTTAAGGTCAGAGGATACACAGAGGAACATTGTTTCAAGAAAATAAAACAACAAACAAGTTCAAAGTCTGACCACTGGATTGCTCAGGGGTGACGGCATGTGTTGCCAAGCCTGATGACCAGAGCTTGATCCCTGAGACTCAAATAGGAAGGAACTGACTCTTGCCCTCTGACTTTCACGTGTGTGCTAACGCATGTGCACACGCACACACACACAAATAAAATGTAAGGGCTGGAGAAATAGCTCAGTGATTAAGAGCACTATCTGCTCTTTCAAAGGACCTGGGTTCAATTCCGAGCACCCACATGGCAGCTCGTAACTATCTATAACTCCTGTTCCAGGGAACCGACACTCTTACACATGCAGACAAAACACCAATGTACATTAAAAAAAAAAAAAGTAAATACAATAAATAAACAAAATGTAAAAAATTAAGCCTTGCCGGACGTGGTGAACGTCCCAGCTCTTGGGAGGCAGAGGCAGGCAGATCACTGTGAGTTCAAGGCCAACATGGTCTACAAAGCAAGTCCAGGACAGCCAAGGCTACACAGAAAAACCCTGTCTCAAAAAACAAAACAAAACAAACAAACAGAAAGTCTTAATTTCAAAATTCAAGATCATCTGGACAATGGTGGCATTCTGGAGACAGAGGCAGTCTGACCAGCCTAGTCTGTATCCAGTTCCAGGACAGCCAAGGCTAAAAAATCCCTGTGGCACATGGGGAGGGTTCAAGGTCATCTTTGAGACATATCAAGTTTGAGGTCAGCCTGAGTCACATGAGACCCTGTCTCAAAAAAAAAAAAATTAATAATTAACTAAAATAGAGGTAACAGCTTAACTGATAGATAAACTGTTTCAAGCACAGGGTATTTTTTTTTTCTCTACAACCCACATCTCCTTTGACCTCAAGTACCCAGCAGGCACCCATTAAGGGGAAGGCAGGTCTCACCTCCACCTGGGAGTGGATGATCTGGGCCACAGCAACCCCAGGCATTGTGAGGCTGTGCAGGAACTCGGTGGCATCAGCAGTCAAATAGCTGTAGCCGCCATCAGGGACATACACTGCAAAGACATAAGTATGGATCCGGAGGCCTTAAGAGATGGCTCAGTTGTTGAGAGTACATACTGTTCTTACACGGAACTGAAGGTTGATTCCCAGCATCCTTATCAGGCAGCTCACAACCACCTGTAACTCCAGCTGCAGGGGGTCCAACACCTTCTTCTGGCCTCTTAGGGCACCCATACCCACATGTACATAAAACAGGCAGACACACAAATATACATATTTTTTTAAATTACAAAATAAATCTTAGCCAGGTGTGGTGGTGTACACCTGTAATCCCAGCACCTGGGAAGCAGAGGCAGGTGGATCTCTGTGAGTTTGAGGAGAGCCTGGTCTACAAAGTGAGTCCAGGAGAGCCAAGGCTACACAGAGAAATCCTATCTCAGAAAACAAAACAACAAAAAATAAATAAATAAATAAATAAATAAATAAACAAACAAACCACTTAAAAAAAAAAGCATTGACCACAACCGTGTGCCTACTACAGCTCCAGCACAAGGTCAGGTGGTCGGGTGGTCCGGTGGTCAGGTTGCTGCCAGCAGACATCCTCACTAGACACTAGAAAGGCGGGCGTTGGGGTGAGGCACTTGGGCCAATGACAAGGCTGAGGTTCTGAGCATATGTAACCTGTCCCAGACCCACAGCTAGCAAGCAGACACACTGGGAAAGGAGCCAAAGAAAGAGACAAGAGGAAGACAGGAAAAGGAAGTATCTTGGTAGGAAAGCTATGGATGGGGAGAGCATAACTGTCCAGTCTAGGAGCTAGCCTTCCTAGTCCACAGCACAGGGGGCAGCTTTCTCTCTCCCCTACAGGGCAATAAGAAATACCCACCCATAGTGAGGGGCTGATCTCGAAGCTCCCTCCACAGCTGGGCCCGGGCTCCTTTCAGGTAACCTGCTACATCCATGTCACCTTGCCCCAGCTCCGGGGGCCGCCCAGCCAGGAAGCTCTCCCTGCTCACGTTTCGAGCCATGCAGAGCAGGATGTCGAAAAACAGAGACAGCTGGGAGAGGGTGAGAAGCATAGCTATTGTCATCTGCAGAGATGCTGACCCAGAAAGGAGAAGAGGCCGGCCTGAGGTCACGCTGCATGTCACCCTGAGCCAGGAGACCCAGTTGCCTTCCCTTAGTCACCTTCACAGGCTGGGCTCCAGAGTCCAAGCCCATATAGGTGCAGGCGTCCAGGGGTGGGCTCACGTGGGTGGCCAGCAGGTGCTCGGCAGTTTCCACAGAGAAGAAGACAACTCCAGAGACCTGGGGGGGGACCCACAAGGCTCAAGTGGGGAGAGCCTAGTGTCAAGCTCAGGCATGAACCGAGGATGGCACATCTAGACGTGCCAAACAAGGTGAGGGTCTATAAAAGGCATGGACTTTCTAGGCCACCCCAGATCCCAAATTCCAGGTTTGGGCAGCTCCTACCAAAATGCCTTAAAGAACCCCCTTAACTATCAGGTCTCTTGTCAAACCCAATCCACACCCTTTCCCAACACTCCTACCCACACCCATCCACGCTGCTTCTAGTCTCTTTCTACTGCATTCCTTAACTTGCTCACATCTGGCAGCTTTCTGGCACAGGGCAAGACCCTCAACTTCCACATGCTCCATAGACTTGGGCCCCATCCACTCTCCTGAATGTCTCTTTAGCTTCTGGTTCAAGCTTGGCCTGGAATCATCTAAAAAGAGTGGGGCTCTTCCCCATAAAGAAAGGGAAATTACCCCTCTCCTATTCCCCAAAATCCCCAAGATCCCTCACCCCAAGCTCAGGGAATCATACCAGTGGTACCAGGCCGTCGGGCCCTATACACTGTTGTAGCTCCGCCTTTGTTCCCTGGTAGTAAATGTCCAAAACAAAGCCCTGTAGGGAGGGGTGGAACAGAATTAGGGACAGGAGCAAGAGAGGACCAGAAATTGGGTACAGCTGTGAGGGTCAGCACATGATCTCCAAGTGAGAAGATGCAAGTTTGGCAGGTACCAGTGAGGTACCAGTATCTGTGAGGACAAAAGCACCTTTTCAAGGCTGAGGGCCGCTTTAATTGTCGTCACAGCCTTGGTACCTGAGCACATATCCAGGCAAGCAAGCATCATCGGTGGGATACCATAAAACAGAACTCAGGCTCGAGACCACAGGACTCAAGGCCAGAGCACGGGACTGGAAAAGCGCCCCTGTCGCAGGGCAGCTCAGCTGTTCCGGGAGTAATTAATACCTGCGAGTCAGTGAGGTAGACACCATGGTTCAGAGCATAGGCCAGACTCCCAGGAAAGGCGATCACTCTGGTTCCCCGGAAGCCATCCCAACGGATCCCTAGAAGGTGGCACAATCAGGGTGGCAAGGTAGGGAGACGCAGACACGAGGAAAGAAGAGCCCAGAGCTGGGGCATCTGGGTAACTCCAAAAGGGCAATATAAGTTTCCAAGGCCAAGCGGGAAAACTTAAATGGCAAGCCCTTTCTCCCCTAAAGTTCTTCCACAAAGCACTGTGAGCCAAAAGGTGGGGCAGTTCTGACCATTCCGATTTGTCCCCTGCCCCGCATAGTGTGTAAGAACTCACTATAGCTTGAACTTGCTGCAACCTTCCTATCCAAATCCCACCCCGCCCCCGCATCCCCCAGTTCTAGAATTATTGGCATGAGACACTACAATCAGCTACCAAGTCTTCAGAGGGGCAGACGGAGGCCCAACAAGAGCAATGGTCTGGCCTATGCTTCCTTTATAAATAGGCTGCGGGAGCTGGAGCAGGATGGGCTACGGAGGAAGAGCCAGCCTTAGGTGTTGAGAGGGAAGATGCTCCCAGGCCGCCCCATGCTCACCAGGGTTTGGAGGAACAGACAGAAGCATGTCGGTACTGCAGACCCACACACCTGGTGGGGAACCCGGACCCAGCTGCAGGAGATGAGGTGGGATGTGGGAAGAGAGAAGAGAGTGCCCCACGCCTTTCTCCGCCCTTTCATCCCCCCCCCCATGTTAGCTTGCTCTGTGTGCTCTTCACCCCTGGGTTGGCTTGTTCTGTTGCTCTTCCAGACACTTAGTCTGCTGCTGAAGTATTAGGGCTTCTTCTCAGGTGCCATGATGTCAATGTTGACCCCCTTCCCACTCAGCTTTCTGCCATGCTTATTTGTTTTGTTTGTTTGTTTGGGGTTTTTGTTATGTTTTTTTTTTTATTTTTTTGAGACAGAGTCTCACAGTGTAGGGCTAGAACTCAGAAATACAACTGACTCTGCTCCTAAGAGCTGAGATTAAAGGCACACATCACCATACCTGGCCCCAAAACTAACTGCTTGAAGTTTTAGCCATGCTCACCACAGACCGTTCTTTCTGGGGTTCCCCATTTGAGCCAGAGGGACCCTCTCTGGTGGCTCATCTGAGGTGGCCCAGTCTGGCCGACTACCTGGCCTTACCCGGTGGGTCATGATATCCAACAGGCAGTCCAGGTTGCAAACCAAGGCCTCCACAGGGGCCTGTGGGTTCTCCACGGGGAGGCAAGTGAAAGCCCTGCCACAGTCGTCAAAGGGGAAGTCTCGGCCCTAGGTGGGGGAAGGAGAACCTCATGAGAAGCAGTCCGCAACCTCCGCTGTACGGGGGCATCAGGCATTAGGAGGTGGTTAAAAAAAGTGTCATAGTGATGGCTCTTCTTTGAATTTTTACAATTAACATGATTACTGTGCAAAATCAGAAAATGTGTATATCCAAAAGGAAAAAAAAACCATCCCCGGGAACGCCAAGCACTGCCCTCATCTTGCCGTGTACCCTACCGAATTTCCATTTATATTTCTGTTGCAAGCCTTGAGTGTGTGCACACATGTGCATACTCGAATGTGCCACAAGGCAGGTAATGGAGGTCAAAGGAAAGGATCTGCTCTCTGCTTCTACCACGGGGTCTTGAGGCTCAAAGTTAGCTTTGGCAGAAGGTGCCGTCACCTCTGAGCCATCTCACTCGCCTTTCATTCATACTTTTTCTAAGTCTTGTTGTTTTTTTTTTTTTAACATACACAAGCTGATCAGGCATGACAGCACACACCGTCAATCCCAGCGCTTGAGAGCCAGAGACGGGTGGATCTCTGTGAGTCTGAGGCCAGCCTGGTCTACATAACGAGTTGCAGGCCAGCCAGGGTGACACAGTGAAGACCCTGTCTCAAAATAAATAAATAATAAACAAATAATAATAAAAAAATAAATAAAAGCATAAAGCTCAATAAACTAGAGATGTGAGAGGGTTGGCAGTCACTTGTCCAGCATACACAGAGCCCTAGATGTAAACCCCGGCGTCATATAAACTGGGCAGGGTGACACAAGCCTGTAACCCCAGCCCTGGGGAAGTCTGTTGGAGCAAGCCAAGGCTACATGAGGCCCTGCTTATCTATATGTGCATCAAGTACATGCAGGTGCCTGCAGAGGCCAAAAGAGGGCATGGAACTCTGAAACCGCAACTCTAGGTGGTGGTGAGCCGCCCAGTGTGCACGCTGTATACTGAACCTAGATTTCCGCAAGGGTAGCAAGCACTCTTAACCGCTAAGCCATCTCTCCAACCCCATTTTCCTTCTGACCTCCACCTGTGTGTACACACATACACATATACATACAGAATAAAAAAATAAAAGCTTTAGACATGTAATAATAATCTCAAAAAGAAAGCTTATGCTGAAAAGGCAGGAACAGGGTTGGAGAGATGACTCAGTGGTTAAGAGTACTTGCTGCTCTTACAAAGGACTCAGGTTCATTCCTAGCACCCACACTCTGGTAACCAACACACTGGCCCACACCTCCTGTAACTCTAGTTCTTACAGGACCCTGATGCCCTCTTCTACCCTCTTCTGGCCTCTGTGAGTGCTGCATGCACATAATGTACATACAGACAAGCAGGAGCACATACATACACATACATAAAATAAACAAGGAAAGGCAGAAGTAACAGCAGAAAGACTTACACACAGTCCAGAATGTTTAAAACTGGAAAAATTTAAGATTGGCAACTATAGCAGTAACAATACTACGGCTATTTGCAAAATATTAGCACCGGGGGGTACCTGGACAAAGAGAAAATCTCTCTGTATTATTTCTTACATGCAGATTTTTATCTTCATGAAAATTCCTGTTAGGAACTGGTTTCTCAGGATTGAATCCAGGCTGTCAGGCTTGGCACTGGGACTCTTTGCTCATTGAGCCATCTTCTCAGCCCCCATGGACCTCTTTCTTTTGTTTTTTTATTATTATGTGTGTGTGTATGTGCATGTGTTTTGCATGCACATGTGTCTGCTGTTGCGTAAGTCCTTCTCTGCTCCTGGGGATTACATGCATACAAAGCCATACCCAGCTTTTGCATGGATGTTGGGGATTTGAACTCAGGTCTTCGCATTTACACAGTAAATGCTCTTAGGCCCTGAGCTTTCTCTCCATCTCCAGATGGACCTTTTAATTTGCCTAAAATACATATCTAACTAGCTCCCAATTTCCAGATGTTTCATTTCTTCATTTCATTCAGATCCCTCTGGATTTGCTCAATGAGCACCTTGCACACACACAATGGTAGAATACCCCTAAATCCCATCCAGTCGACAGAACCAAGATTCTGCCCCTCTGCACAGCCCACACCCTGAATTCCACTTACCATGTGCAAGATGAGAATCCGAGCCGAGTGCAGAACATCAGATGTGACCACCTGTCAAGAGAAGGAGTGCCTTCTCTTGAGTCCTTGGGTGATGGCACCTCGAGAACAATACCCTCTTGCCCAGGGAAGGACTCCAACACAAGTACCAAAGGGAAAAAAGGCAAGAGCAAGACCAGTGAAGATGCCAGGCATGGTGGCACATGCCTTTAATCCCAGTGCTTGAGAGACAAAAGAAGGCCTATCTGTGAGTTCATAGTAGGCCTGGTCTACATAGTGAGATCCAGGACAGCCAGGGCTACATAGAGAGACACTGTCTCAATGAATGAACAAACGAATGAATAGATAGATGGATGGATGGATGGACGATTAAATGATAATTTGAAAAAAGACAATGAACACAGGCAAGGGACAGCCTGCCAAGCAGCCATCCACTTGGACCACCTCCTTGACTTGACTTATTTGAAGGCGAGGCAACAGGCTGCAATTGGAGTCCAGATGAGCTGGGGGCTGCCAGCTCCAATAGCAACTACAGTACTCCCATTCCTTGCCAACTCCTCCTCCATGGCTGGAGTGTGGGTGTGGCTAGGACCACCCTCCTCCTCCATGCATTTGTGCTAAGCAGGCAAAGCTACCAAGTAAAACAGCCAGCAGACACAGCCTATGAGAAACACTGATTCATAGCCGGTCAAGGCAGGCCACATGCCTTATGGGAATGAAAGTACAAACTGGCAAGACCTATGATGTTTTGTTTGTTTTGTTTTAGAGACAAGTTCTCAATATGTAGCCCTTGCTGGCAGGAACTCAGACTTCCTACACTGGCCTTGAACTCAAGAGATCCACCTGCCTCTGCCTCCCAAGCACTGGGATCACAGGTGTGTGCCACCTGGGCCCAGCAAGATCTTTGAACTTTTCCAAGAAAAGCCAGAGAGCACCCTATTAAATACGGAGATACTGCCTCCAAACTTCTGGAGACAAGGTTTTATTTCACTACATAGCCCAGGTTGGCCTTGAGTTTGTGTCAATCCTCCTGCCTCAGCCTTCTGAGTGTTACCATGTCTGGCTTCTGGTTCCTTCTTGCCAAAAACACTCCAAAGACTGGCCGTGCTTTTGCCCTTACCTGGACAGCATGGCAGAGATGAACCTAAAAATCTGAACAGATTGAAAATTAAAAGCCAAATGCTGAAAAGTAGAAAAGGTTTACGTCACAGAAACTACGGGGTTCCAACAGGAACAGGGGCCAGGGGGCGGCAGCTCAGAAGCACTCACGGTAAAGCCAGCTCGGGCACTCAGGTGTTCAGCAGCCACCAGCAGCGCATTGAGAGTGGCTCCTCCACTGCCCACTCGAGTCTGGGGATCCTCCACAGCCAGCAACATCGTTCCAGCAGGAATCTGCTCCCGCTTCTGCCGTACTTCCAGCTCTGTGACCAAAAGAAATGCTGGGAAACCCACAAGTCGCCACCAGCCTGGCCCAGCCCAAAGGACCTGAACGAGCCTGTTAATGGTCATTTGACTTAGCTTTTCACACAGCACGTGGTTAAATCCTAAAGTCTGTGAGGTAAGCACTGTTACCCTCAACTTATAAATAAGAAAACTAAAGGCCAATGACATGACACGTTTATCAAGTCACAAGACTAGAAAGAGAGTCTGTGTTTCAACCCGGGTCTACCAGGCTCCCGGTACAGCAGGGGTCTGGTAAGGGAGAGCGTTCTAGTTTAGGGGAAAGGTGGGAGGGCATGTCACCTACCTCTCTGATAGACCTGGACACTGTCCTTGTACTGGCATGTCAGGATAATGACTGTCCAATCAACGCCCTTTGGCTGCTCCATTCTGACCAAAATAGAGGGGCTTGCTTCCTGAAGCAGCAACGTGTAAGTATTTCTGAAGGACATACAGTTTTATGAATTTTAACACACAAGTATAGATTCTTTTCAAATGTTATTATGTGTCTAAGTGTTTCGCCTGCACGTATGTACTGTACCACATGAGTGCAGTGCCCGGTGCCCTCAGAGGTCAGGGGAGGGTATTATTTCCCCTGAGACTGGAGTTACAGACTGGAGCCAGGTGTGTGTAGGAAATCAAACTAATGTCCTCTGCAAGAGTAACAAGTGTTCTTAACCACTGAGCCATCTCTCCAGCTCCTCCTTATCGGTGACTTTGTTCACTGGACTTTTAAAATGAAAAGCATGACTTTAAATGTCCCTCTCTCCCAAAACAATATGTGGTGCCGGACAGTGGCTGAGTGGGCGACACACTTCCCAGCCTGTCAAGGAAGTCAGAGAATTTTAACCTGGCCCTGTTTAGGAGGGAATGAGGCTCTGAAATAATCTCTGGGTCAAAGGCCCTAGTCCTGGTTAGTTTTAATTGTCAACTTGATAGAACATAGTCACCTGGGAAGAAAGAACCTCAACTAAAGAGTTGCTTCCATCAGATTCCCTTGGGCATGTCTTTGGGAGACTGTTTTGATTGCTGACTGATGTGAGAGGCCCTATTCTGCTGTGTGTGGCCCCATCCTTAGGCAGGTGAACCTGGGTCATATAGGAAAGCCAGCACAGCAAGCAGGAAAGCAAGCCAGCCAGCAGCATTTCCAGGCATTCCTCTACCGTTCCTGACCTGGAAGTATAAGACAAAAAAAAAAAACAAAAAAAAACAACCCTCCCTTTTCTCCCCAGATTGCCTTTGGTAGAGTTTTATCACAGGAAGAGCAAAGCAAACTTAGACAACCATGAACAATAAGAGGGAAAAATCAGAGAAAGACTCAAGAGATCAAGCAAGGCTCAGGGGTATCCCCAGCCAGATCAGCCAAGAGAGTAACTGACACTTGGGGAGTGTTCTCAGGCACCACGCCAAAGCCTCCGTAGGGGTGGCTCAAAGGAGCCACACACCAGCCTTAATAGTTGATCTTATCACACCATACAGATAAAGAAACCTGGGCTTAAAGAGTAAGCAGGCTGCCTAAGGTCATACAGCTAGCCACAAGCAGCTGGGTGTGTCCCCGTGTTTGTGTTCTCAGCCACAGTGAGGAACAGTCCTGAAGTTGGACGTGTCACACGTGGAATTTGCACAGTGATCTTAGAATAGAGAAAATTATTGCAGCAACTTTATTAGCCCAATCCAAGTTGGAATTTTTTGAGTTGAGTTCTGTTTTGTTTTTTAAGAGCCTAAAGGAGCCACACTGGCCTTTAATTCACTATATAGCCAAACATGGCCTCAAACTTCTAAATAAAGGCTTGCACCAACTGAACTAGGTTTTTTGCTTGTTTGGTTGGTTTTCGGGGTTTTGTTTGCTTTCCGGTGCTAGAAATCCTCAGCAAGATTATAGGCTAGTGATCATATCCAGGGACACACACTCATGCACACACTCTCCAAGTACATAGTTTTGAGACAGGCTCTCACTTATGTAGCCCTGGCTGGCCTCAAACTTTCCATCCTCCTGCCTCCACTTCCCATTACTACGTTTACAGGCCTGGGCCACTATACCAGCTCATATATGCTCACTGAAGAAACAAAACAAGCAGGAACTTTTGCACATTTCAGCATTTTTAAAATTTTAAAAGTTAAATGTGGATACGTGAGTGTGTGTCAGTTTGTGTGTGTCAGAGAGAGAGGCCCAGGAAGACTCTAATTTGCGGCTTTCTGAAGAACAGGAGGCAAAAAGAAGTTGGATGGAAGTAAAACCAGGCCGTAAACAATATGTTCAGAAAATGTGTACCTACTGGTTAAACTGAAGCAGAAAAACGACTTAAATCAAAATCGGAACAGCACAGGCATCCAGAACTGCACTGGCTCAAGGGAACGTCCCTCTGTGCGCCTTGCGTCCCCAAGTCGCGGGGCTCTCTCTGCAAAACCCAGTCAAGAGAAAGCTACAGGGCAAGGCTTCCCTGCAGCTAGCTAGCGCTGGCGGCGAGGGCAGAGATCTGGTTGACCCGCAGGAAAGCGCCCAAAACTAGAAAGGGACCGGAGAACCCCGCGGACCCTCATACCTGAGTCCGCTGGACGCTCGCAGAGCCGGCTCATTAACGCGGCTGCGCGTCCCGCGCGGTGCACTCTGGGAAATGGAGTTCTTTCCACCAGAGTTGCCAGAGCCTTGCTGAAGTGAGAAAGTTCTCAAACTAACAGGGAGCGCTCCACCAACTTCCAGAACTACAAGCCCCAGAGAGAACAGGGCTACTTAAAGGCACAGACCCAGTTTTTTTGTTTTGTTTTGTTTTGTTTTGTTTTGTTTTGTTTTGTTTTGTTTTGTTTTGTTTTTGTGACTTGGGGAATAGGGTTTCTCTGTGTAGCCCTGGCTGTCCTGAAGCTCACTCTTTAGCTCCGCCTGCCTCTGCCTCCCAAGTGTTGGGATTAATGGTGTGCACCACCACCACCGGGCTGTAATTTTGACTTTTTAAAAAAGATTTTTAAAAAATATTATTCAGGCTAGAAAGAAGACTCAGAGGTTAAGAGCACTGGGTGCTCTTCCAGAGGTCCTGCGTTCAATTCCCAGCAACCACACTGTGGCTCGTAATCATCTATAATGAGATTTAGTGCCTTCTGCTGGCATGCAATACAGAACAAGGTATATGAAATAAATCTTTTTTAAAAGATTATTATTTAGTGACTGGAGAGATAGCTCTGCGGTTAAGAGCAAGGATTGTTCTTCCAGAGGAACAGGGTTCTATTCAAAGCACCCACATGGCAGCTCACATCTGTCTGTAACTTCAGGATAAAACACCTTCACACAGATATACATTCAGGCAAACCACCAATGCACATAAAAATTAAAATGCAAAATCTATTACTTTTATTATTACCATCTTCACCATCATTTTATGTGCATGAGTGTTTTGCCTGCATATGTGTCTGTGCACCATGAGCATACCAGAAGAGGATGCCAGAAAAAGGTGTTGGATCTCCAGAAACTGGAGTTAAAGACCATCGTGGCCACCATGCAGGTGCTAGGAATCAAACCCAGGTCCTCTAGAAGAGCAGTCATCTGCTGCTCCATCTCTCCAACCTTTATTTTTTTCTGTATTTTAATTTTAATTTTTAGATAGGATCTTCCAGGTTGGCCCTAACTCAGCCTCCAGAGTGTTAGGAATAACTACCATATTCTTCAGATTTCTTTTCAAGACAGGTTTTCTTGTATAGCCCAGGCTGTCACTCTGTAGACCAGGCTGGCCTCAAATGCAGAGATCCACCTGCCTCTGCCTCCCCAAGTGCTGGGATTAAAGGCGTGCTGCCGACACCACCACCACCTGGCTTCTTCAGATATTTTTTCCTTTCCCTTTTTGTTTTTTTTTTTTTTTAATTTTTATTTGTTGGGGCTGGAGAGATGGCTCAGTCGTTAAGAGCACTGTCTTGTCTTCCAAATGGACCCGGGTTCAATTCCCAGCACTCACACGGCAGCTAACAACTGTCTGTAATGCGAATTTCAAAGGATCTTTCACTTTCACACTAATGCACATATAAAGTTAAATAAATCTTTTAAAACTTTTTATTTCTTTGTCCTGGCGGGAGCCATAGCCACTGTTTTTGTAAAGAGCTGTGAAAAAGTACGGATTCACCACTGTTGTTGTAGATGAAACACATGTAGCTAGAATTGGATTGGCCGTTGGGGCGGCGTTTCCCTGTTTTTCTCAGGTGGGTACGTCCGTAAGATCCTTCAACTCTGCAGTAAAAACTTTGCAGCAAAGCTTTACATTGTTTGTCATAGTCCCAAACTGGAAAACACCCCAGTGTCCCTGTCTAGTGTTCTATATTTTATGTGTGTTTTAACAAGAATACAGCTAGCCGGGTAGTGGCGGCGCACGCCTGTAATCCCAGCACTCAGGGAGGCAGAGGCAGGTGGATCTCTGTGAGCTGGAGGCCAGCCTGGTCTACAAAGTGAGTACAGTACAGCCAAAGCTACACAGAGAAACCCTGTCTAAAAAAAAAAAAAAAAAAAAAAAGAATATAGCTGATAAATATGCACAATAATGAACTACCTTGAAAGACGTTAGGCTGAATGGGGTGGCACAGGCCTGTAATCCCAGCACTTTCAAGGTGGGGAGGATCAGTAATTCAGGGTTATCCTCACTTTCATAACCCAGGTAAAGGTGGGAAAAGAGAAACAACATGCCCTGCTGGTTTTGTCCAGCATCTCCTCACTATGCTTCATTTACCCCTTTTTGGAATGGTAATGTGTATTCTGTGCTCTTATATGTTGGAAGTATGTGATTTGTTCTTTGATTTTGATTTTGCAGAGGGTTGTAATTAAAAGATTAGCTGAAGTCTCAGAAAAAACTTTGGACTTTCTTTGTTTCTTTCTTTAGGTTTTTTTGTTTGTTTGTTTGTTTGTTTTTCTTTCTTTTTTTTTTTCATGACAGGGTTTCTTCTTCGTGTAGTCTTGGCTGTCCTAGAACTGGCTCGGTAGACCAGGCTGGCCTCAAACCCATGAAGATCCACCTGCCTCTGCCTCCGGAGTGCTGGGATTAAAGGCGTGTGCCACCACTACCCAGCTTGACTTTGGACTTTAAATAGTGTGGAGACTGTAAAAGATCATGGGAAGTTTTGAAGTTAGATTGAATGCATTTTTGCATTGTGATATGGCTACAGGTCCATGGGGGCCAGCGAGTGCAATGGGGTGGCTTGGATAAGAATGTCCTTGTTGTGGGTGGCGATTAATATTTACTATTGATATATCTTCTGGTAAAGCTGCTGTTAATCCTAAACAGCTGTATAACCAAATCACCACACAGAGACTGGGATTTTAGTTAACCTAGAACACAATGCTGAGCAATAGTTACTCCCTCCTAAACCTTCAAGCCCTCATCGTTTCCTAACATTTAGATTTTACCCATTATACTTGCTTTTTTGAAATCTTAGGTCTGGTTCATTCTCCACGCAGTTCCAAGATCCATTCTCCAGCTCTGCTTTCCTAGCTCTGCTCTCACCCTTTCTCCTCCCACTCATTTCCTGCCCTCTGGCTCCTCCCCTCTTTCCTGTCCTCTGGCTCCTCCCATTGCTCAACATTGTGGCTAGTTGCTTTATTTTGGCCTGTTTACACAAAGTTGAGACAGGATGCTTAGAATAAGTATCACAATGCAATATCCAGATTGAAACCAGAGAAGGGGGGGGAGGGAATCAGCATTTGAATGAACAAGGATAAGGTGTATACATTTCAAAAGAACATTATACCAACATGTCCCCTATAGGTTCATATATTTGAATGCTTAGTCACTAGAGAGTGAACTGTTTGAAAGGATTAAAAGGACTAGGGGGTGTGGCCTTGTTGGAGGAAGTGGGTTTTGAGGTTTCAAAAGCCCATGCCAGGCCGATTCTCACCCTCTCTACCTGGTGATGAGGATGTAAAGCTCTCAGCTTCCAGGGCCATGCCTGCCTGGGTGCCACCATGCTCCCATGTTCACTACATATGATGATAGCAGACTAAGCCTCTGAAACTGTACAAATGGCCCCAATTAAATGCTTTTGTTTAAAAGAGTTGCCTTGGCCATGGTGTCTCTTCACAGCAATAAAACAGTGACTAAAACAGAACACATACACACACATACACACAAATAAATGTAATTTGAAAAAAAAATTTATAAATACAACTCTTTCTTTACATTCATTTTTACATATATTTTATGTAGATGAATGCTCAATCTTAATGTACACCTGCACACCAGAAGAGGGTATCAGATCCATGTATAGATGGTTGTGAGCCACTATGTGGTTGCTAGGAATTGAACTCAGGACCTCTGGAACAGCAGACAGTGCTCTTTGAGCCATCTCTCTAGCACCCACAATTTAAAATTTTAAGTATTGCATTATGGGAGGCAGAGGCAGAATCAGGAATTCAAGGGCAACCATGTCTACATCCTAAATTTGAGAACTTCCTCCGGAAAGAGAAAAGCAATGTGTTGTGGCTTTGATAGTGTAGCTTAGTGGTAGAGTCCTTGCTTAGCATGCAAGCGGACTTGGGATCCCAAACATCCCTAAAACATGTAAAGAAAAAAAGATTTGCAGTGAACCCATCATGGAGCAGATCATGCTTTAGGGTACAGGGGAGGCTGGGCAAGGAGAACATGAGCTCTATCTGTATTTGAGTTTTTCTTACAAGAATGTGCTTTCTAAATTTGGTGTTCTGTACAAGGGCTCTGAGAGGTAGGAAACAAGGTCAGTCCTAGCAGAGACGGGGACTGTCCTGTAACTCAGCCAGTCATACAGCTGCCTGTGTGCCTGCCTGTCTCCTGTGAAATGAGTTAACAATAGTACCTAATGCCAGTGACTGTTACATAAGTTCAACTCCATAGTAAACAGCAAAGAGGAAGAAGAAAAAAATAAACCAGCCATTATTGTCGTCTTTACACTCTTCCTGCTGTACTAAAGCAGGGCTTTGGGTGTGCTCTCTCCTGCACTTTCAGCTTCCAGATCAGTGCCTACGATGTTGTAAGTGGCTGCCCAGCTCCTGTGGCTCCTCTCTTCGTTTGACTCATGTCTCCCTCGCCCTCACCAAAGTCTATTTCTTCTGTGAACCCAGGAAGCCAAATCTCTCACAAATGATAAGGCAGCTCTTCTTGCTGCTGTTTCAGCAATGCAGATCCCAGGCTCTGCAGCGGAATGTGAAGCAGAGATGCCTGCTGCTGCAGTTTTGGCAGTGTCGCCATAAAACAGAATGTGACCCCAAAGAGCTCAGAAGCAGACATGGTTGGAGGACAGTGATGACACCAGACCTGCTCTACAGCTTTCCAGTCAGAGAAACAAAGCTCTTCGAGTAAGGTTTCCTTAGATGGAAGCCATTCCTGGCCAGATGTGGTGGCCCCCACATGGCCTATAATCTTAGCATTGAAGAGGCAGAGGCAGAGGCATGAGGATCAACTAAAGTTCAAGGCCAGTGTGGTCTATGTAAGCATACCAGTAGGCCTTGTTTAAAAAGAAATAATTTCGGGGTCAGTGGTTAAGGGCACTGACTGTTCTTCCAGAGGACCAAGGTTCAATTCCCAGTACCCACATGGCAGGTCACAACTGTCTATAACTCCAAGATCTGACACCTTCACATAGACATACATG